GGATGACTGGCTACTGTTAGCTCATTCTGGACGGGAGTCCACCCGTTACCCTCATCAGCTGTTCCTGGAGGCAACTATCGTGGGCTGGTTAATTAAGTTGGAGAAGACCTTACTGCAAACAATTCAATATCTTGTCAACACCCATCTCAATCGGGATCTTTTTGGGCCCACATGTTCGATATTCTTATCATTGCATGTTATGTTACGGGTGCTTTTGCTCTTGTCATGGATCAGTTTTCTGTCCAAATAAAACTATCCAATTGAGTGATTTCTTAATCCTTTTGTTTTCCAGTGGCTTTGACTGCAGTGGTGTACCTCTCATATTGAAGCTTTCACTACATCCCATAACCACAAATTGCTTTGGTTGTCTTACTATGACTATTGATGTTTTCAGCCAGGATTGGACTAACACATTTGTCTATCCTCCCAATCTTCTTCATCTTCGGGTAATTTCAATCACCCTTGACACTCCGTGTTTAGTCCTTCTGATAGCTCCTTGCTGGCTGTCTCAGCTGTGGCTTCTCCAGTTCTGACTCTGTCCCTTCTTTGTCACCCTCAGTCACCGGTGTTTCCTACAGACCTTCCTGTCTTCATGCCTGGTTTTCTTCCGGTCATTGGCGAAGAGATCCAGCTTTTCTCAATGGTTAGCTTCTTTTCTGGCTTGTTTCATTCGCCCTTCCTCCATGGAAGTTCCTCAGTGCAAATGGAATGTTTTCCATTGTTGATTTCTGAGTCCAGGGTTTTTTCCCCTGATCAACCCATTGTTCCTCATTATGCAGATTTCCTCACTTGACTTTTGGATCAGGGGTCTTCTGTCTCCTCGATCTCAGATTTTGGGCAGTCCTGTCCACATTTTTCGTTTTTCTCGATACTTCAGGTATTTATCTCTCCTACTCTTTACCTGTTGATGTGTTCCTTCTGGAATTGTCAGTGGGCTGCTCTTCCAGATTGGGATATTCATGTGGTCTTGCACTGCCTCACTTTGCTTACTTTCAAATTATTCTCCCAGTGCTCCTTGTTTCCCTTACATCTTCCTTCCTTCTCCTATTTGCCTGTAAACGTCAGTGGTCTCTTTAGTTGCCATTGATATTTCATGTACTTTTTATCCTTTTACATGTCTTCTCCTTTCTCTAAATCATTTTTTTCTTCCCTAACTCTTTAGTAGTTAGTGAGGATACTTCCTCTGTTTAGCCACTTTCCCTTACTTGAGTTTCCCACCTTTATTTTCGGCCTGATCCAGAGAGACTTCTTATGTCTGTATGTGCTCTTTTCTGTTATATTACCTGCATGGCTTCATTTTGTAGTGCTCATTCCCACCTCTTTCTTTCTTGGGAGCTGACCTCTGCTCGTGATCTTTCTCTTCGCCAATAGTTTGGATCTTTATTTGATTGGCTTATTCTTTATCGTCTTCCTCACGTAATTTGTTTTGGGTATCTTCTCATTCAATTCAACACCTTACCTTTTCACTGACGTTTCATCTTCATCATCCCTTGGAAGTCCTTCTTCACTTGGGCATGTGGACTACTCATAATACGTTTGTCTCTCACTATTTGCATTGGATCCCAGTTTCATCCTCTTCAGGCTATCATCTTCCACCTGTAGCCATTCTTCAGAATTCAGTGAGACTTTGACTGAGTAAGTTATTTTTTCTTATTCTTTCTTTTTCAGGGACCCTTTTTCCCTCTTATTATTGCTTAATGTTTGGATCCCACTCTGTAGCAAGTGATGCCTGACCAGGTGTTCTTTAATAAATCCAATCCGCATTGTACGGCCATGTCAACTTAAATATTATATTTCCATGGCCACGTAATGCACACTGTAGAGATGGGGTGTTCCACAAGGTCAGTTGTAGGTTTATCCTCATGAAGGAATTTAAAAAAAAATGTGCCCGTACCAGATCATATTCACCCATGGACTACGTGGGTAAAGCAGACTCTCAACCATGTTTTTCCCTCCTTTCTTCTGGTAGTGTTTGGGAGTCCTTACCACTTTCCATTTCCTAGCCACTGGGGTGGTGGACATTGGAGGTATCCTCCTGAATGGGTTAATGAAATACAAAATACAAATAAAATATAGAAATGATTACACAACCATCAGTTGAGAGTAGGGTGGTGGTGTTCTGCTGGTGAAGATGACATGATATCCTCCATTATGAAACAAATATAAATGGGAGTGAGCCATCAAAAATTGTAGTTCACCCCTTCTATTGGGATCCCTCATCCTACCCTCACGTGGATGTCGGTTACCAGTGGCTGGGTTTTTGGATTTAGAGTTGAACTAATCAACATAAGACCTCACACCTGTCTAATAGATGTCTATATTCTTCCCTCAATTATACTCTTGTTCCTCCATATGTGTTGTGGGTCACGGTAGAGCTATTTTCAGATTATTACGGTTCTTTCCCTTTCACTATCCCTCAATGCTTATTATTCTGAGGATGTTACTGTGCTTGGGATGGTTCTGGTCCATTTCACTCTTTACAGAATTGGCTTACATTACACAGATATCTTTATGATACCAGATGTTAGGTTCCCAGATCAATCTATTAGTTTTTTATATTAACATGTGCCCTGTTCATGGGTCTGAGGGTTCTTGACTCCCTCCAGCCTCATTAACTTAAGGTGAAGATGGCATGATCCTCTTTCCTACCCCCTCATGGATGTTGGTTCCCTGTGGCCAGGGTTTTGGATTGTAGTCAACTTACTGATGGTATGGTCCTCATCCTACCCCCAGCGTGGATATTGGTTCCCAGCAGCATGGGTTTTGGACAAAGTTGACTTGCTGTGTACAGTCCTTTGTACCCTAGCCACTCTACACCTAGGGCACATTATTTTAAATGATGCAATCCCCCACATCAGATCTTAGAATCTGACTGTTTCCTCTTAGGGAGTGTCCTTTGGACACTTTCAAAGCATACTTCTTTTTTTCCCTTGCACCGATTCCTCCACATTTTCAATGTGGGTTTCTAGCTATTTATGTGAGAGGAGGTTATGTACTTTATTGGAAGTTATAATTTTTCCTATGCTGAAAATGTATTTCTGATAGGTATTTACCTCCAATGCTTCCATCTTCTGCCAAAACTCGAAGTGATAGGGAGTCATTTGCAATATGAGAGTATGTCACACTCTTATTGGTGGAGGGTTGACACATGATGAGTTACATGAGAGATGCATTGGAATCAGTCAATTCCAATGAAAATGAGATAAAAGGCTTGTAGCATGCATATTTGTTTTGTATATAGAGAGCAGCACTGAACAAGAATAGCTATTTATGTGAGAGGAGGTAAGTATCTATTGGAAACATTTTTAATATAGAAAAGTGATAACTTTCAACATGCCAAGTATAGAAGTATTTCTCATTATTGCTTATCTAAGATGGGCAAGACATGTTGTGTAAATGGAAGAAAACCATCTCCTTGAGGCAGCACAACAGCCAGATGAAGAATGGAACATGATGGTAAGAAACTTGGGTTTATAGGCATTCTAAGATAGAATATAAAGCATACTATATTTCACAACCAAACTAGGGAGCCTTAGAAATTGAAATTGAATCATTAAATACAAGAAAAGAAATTAAGCTCAAAAAAAGGATCAATAGAGACATGGCAAGATTGATGTCAACAATATCAAGCAGTAGAAACCGTATCTGAGATATATGCAACTGGATCTGTGGATCAAGAATTCACCATCTAAACCACAGATACAATTTATTAAACTTAGGGAAACATTGTCTCGGTCATCAGGCAAGTGAAGAAGAATAAATTTAGAGAGAGAGGTTGTTTATGATCAAACAACTTGAAACTTTGTTAATAAATATTAAATGTGATGATAAAAACTTGATTCAGTTGTTATTATTCTCTTAATTAATTTATCGGTGTTTTGAATTAAAAATTATAGATTTGGCAATGTTGTGTGAGGTTTTATAAATAATTTCTAATGATGCTATGAATTAAAAGAAAAAATTAGTGTTTACTCTCACCTCAACTGACTAACTCCCATTACTCTTTGCTTTTGATAAAGGAACAAGAGAAATTTTAAGTAATGGTAACTGTAATTATTGTCAGATGAAAATAATTCTAAAATTATTTTATCATTTATTGGTCAAAAATTTTGGATGATAGTTGATTATCTGACAGAAGAAGGGCTAATAAATAAAAGAAAGGAAATCATTGTAGATATGAACTTGGTGGAGAAGAGATGAAGTGATAGTGGGTAGAGGTGGGAGATCCACAGCAAAATCTTTCTCTTTAGCCTTTTAGACTAATGATGAAAGTCTAGCAAAATTTGAGTCATGCTATTATAATTAATGATGTTTCAGTTATGGCTTAAACTTGATTCATTTTCTGCACATAAAATACTGTTGCAAAGATTAAAAATAAGAAATGATTTGTAAAATGTACAAGATTCACATTAATTTCTAATCTGAAGAGGAATGATGTTCTTTCATGATGGGTTTACTTGATCAAAATAAACCATAGTTTAGTCTCAGAAAATATTTATTCAAATGATATGTTCATTGAATTAGTATTAAAATTTAAGTAAATTCACTTACAAGTTTATTAGTGTCTTGTGGATTCAGTATACATATAAATATTCACATGCAAGTTTATTAGTTTTATTTTTTATAATGTTTTGATTAAAATATACTAATTGTATTAGAAATTGTTTTTCTTTTCACAGAAATATGCATAGTTTAAAAAGATTTTTTCACTGGAAAAAACCATCAAGCCTAACAAAGTGCTCTTTAGAAGCATATGATATTGCACTTTAATTCACATTTCGCATATAAAATATTTAATTTTACTGGAATCATAGCCAGTGGTAACTAATTTTCTTGCATAAATGCTTAAATTAACTCCTACCCAAAATTCAGATCACTGAAATTATGTTTTGTTTTTTTTAAAACAGTAAAATTTGCTGGTAATAAAAAGCAATATATTACTGACCTATAGAAACTTATATGCTGAATTCCACTTACTTAATCCTATTAATTGTTAACAGCGAACATGTCACCTGTTGAAAAGCTGGATTCTGAGGAAATAAACAACAATGTGGTTGTACATACCTCAGATTATGAAACCCCTATTCTGTTGAAGAAGAAAATCTCTCCTATTTCAAACCATTCAAAGATTTTCATACAACAGAGGCATAAACCTCTACCTCTAGACACAGATCAGCAGAATTCTCCAACATACATGACTGTTCAGGTAAGTCCACCAGCTTCTACCATGAAGTGTTATGAACAGATTTCCTCCACCCCAGTTAATAACTGTAGAATTCCTTCTACTGATACTGGACAAAAGACTGAATCCAGGTGCATGAAAAAACTTGAGACTTCTGCTTGTTTTATTTGCACAGTGCAAAATGATGCCTACAGAAGTCCATTAAGTCCAGTTTTTAAGGGTGAGAAATACTCCCCTTCTAATGTTTTTTCTTCCCCTGATGAGCCAATAACAATCATGAAGAGTAACAGAATTAAACAGGGGTGCATGAAGCACCAGATCATTAGGAAGAAAAGGTCTTGCTCAGTACCACAGTTGAGACAGAAGAAAAAATCCTTTTGGAAAATTGCCTCTAGTGGACATTTGTCTCAGCTAACCAAAAAGAAATGGAACACTCATAATGCATCTGAAATTTTCATTGTATCCAGTGTAATACAAGAAATGCATTCAAATGAAAAGAAAAAGAATGTTTTTTCAGTCTCTGATACATCAGAAACACCTCAACTTCTTCCTCCATCGAATATCCATGTAAATAGCATGGATAAACTAGCTGTGTCATCATCTTTACTACAAAATACCCCAACAACAAAAAGGATGCCTAACATTGGCTTGCCTGAAAAACGTTTGACTGCTAGAAAACGATGTAAACACTTGTCTACACTTTCCTTACAGAAGTTTGGTGATAATACTGCTGAGGATGAACTTTCCAAATCAGCACCTGTTTGTAAGCTTTCTTCTTCTTCCTTTGTCATTCCTAACATAGTAGTTGTTGATACATCAGTAGAGGAAAAGTTAAATTTCTCCAATCCCTTGTGACTCCTTTATTTTGTAATGGAAAATATACAATCTCTTTGTGTTATGAGCCCAAATTCTCAAGTAGAATCATTCCAATAACTTTTGGAAGGAAATGGTATTATCTCTTGTGGATAATAAAATCAGTAGGAAATTGAAGTTTATTTTGAAGTTGTGATTTATTTGAATTTTTATTTTGTGCTAACTGTTTAAAAAGTTAAAGATTTATGAAAGAAATAATTGATTGTGAGTTTATTAATGAGAACTGTTGAATCATTACAATAAAGTGTTTTTAAATTCAGGTGGTATCTATAGCATTTCACTGATTTTGATGAACATCAACGTACTGCAGAAACCATGCAGAGAAAGAAAAATGAGTTCAATAAACTAAACAAGTTATATATAATAAACAATCATACTGAAAAGACTAGTGAATTTATTAAACACTGAAAGCATTGAACCCTCAAATTACCAACTTATTTTTAAACCACTTGTTATTGTGGTTACATATTCGTACATTTTATTTCACAAGACTCGGTGTAAAGAGCCAGTCATAACAATTGGTTGAAGTCACTAATTTTCAACGTAAAATGTATCAGAAACTCAAACAGTAATTATGAAAGTAATTGCAATTTTGATATTATTTTTTAATTTTTTTGTGTGGCTTTTATGTTTTCAGGAACCCTGTAATCACTCAAGTCATGGATCCATAAACAGTTTGGTGCATAAATAGTTTTGAAAAATTTGTTTCAAAAACAAGTGAGGTCATGTATACCCCATCGGTAGTTCTAGAGCTAATAATAAGTCCTTAAGAAAATATAATTAGTCAATCAATTTTCTGAAGCAGGTTGTCGAGAAAAAAGTACAAAATACATTTTTATCTAGACATGAAAAGAAATTCATTGTTTACATGTTTCAATTATTAGTTTGATTGTGCATGTGTTGAAGATGTTTAATGTACTTTAAAAGTTTAATTTTATTAAATAACCACAGATTGTGAAATTCATGGTCAAGCATAAAATAACAGTTATGAGTATATCAGACTGCAGAAGAAAAGGTCATAACATCAGAATTATATTATTTGTCTCTGAGTCCACACACATTCCATGTTCCTATTTTTTTTCCATTATTTTAACTCATAGTCATTGAATTTTTGCAGTCTGTTCATTCATTTGTATCTACCTTGAGCAACTTATATAATCACTAATTGGCTTCCTAGGCCATTCATAGCTTCACAAGAGCACCATCTGCCAGCAGTGTTTCAGAGTAACCTGGTCCAGCTTTCCTGGCTACCATAGTGATCATGTGGGATAAATCCACACCATACTTCACCCGAGCCAAGTGATCCCCTGATTTGTGCTATTTCCATCTCTCACAAGCCAGGCTTTCATGTTGATGACCATAAAGTGGTCAATACTGCAAGCTCACTAGAAAACCACTCTTCATCGCTCATCATGAAGAAAACCAATCTACTCAAAAACAAATAACCATAGATTATTAAATTCATGGTCAAGCATAAGATAACAGTTATGGGCATAGCAGACTGCACAAGAAAAAGTTGTAACATCAGAATTATAATATAGAGCAGAGTTGAAATATACCCAAGAGCACCACGTGAAGTCGATATTGCACATCCACAAACAGACAGACTGATCTCAGATACAAAATATCTTTCGGAAAGGATCATACTGATCAGATCAAGAGAAGAAAAGAGATTAATGGTTATCATTCAAGTGTATGCACCAAGCAATGATATCTATGTGGATAAGGAAAAAGATGAGTTTTTCAAACAACTCTCAGACACTACCAACAAAGTAAGCAACACTGATGAGAGTTTTTAATGACAGGGTAGGTAAAAGAACTCCCTGGGAGACATATCTAGACCCTCACGGTGATGTTATCACAGAGTGAAACCACAATAATGGCATGTACTACAGCTATGTGCTGAACATGGTTTATATGTCATTAACGCTTTTTACCAACATCATCCAAGTCAGATATACACGTGATAAAAATGGAACAGGTTCATCCAGAGCTTGCAGATAGACAACATCTTGACAAAACTGCCCCAAAAAAAGAAAGATCAGGGACTCAAAAGCTATAGCTATTGTAAATATAGATACTAACCATCGTCTAGTCATTGTAGTTCTAAACAAGACACCAAAATGATGACAACCCATCCAAAGCCTTACAGAAGTAATCAACTTGAGGAACCTTAATGAAGATGTGGTTAAAGAAGTAAAACAAGAGATTATAGAAACATTTGAAGCAACACAAGAAAAGACCCACAGTGTTAAGAAAGCATGGCAACATTTCAAGAGTACTATCTTTAATACTTTAAGAAACAAATGTGCCATAGAAAACTGGATGTGGTAGGAAGAAGGGAACAGCATGGTAGAATGGAAAGTCAAAGAAGCAAAAGAGGAAAAGAAAAACTTTTTGAAGTATAGTTAAAATTGAAGGAAGAGGAGGATTGCATAAAGTATAAAACAGCAAGAATAAACAGCAAAAGAATAGTGAAGAAGTCTAAGGAAGAATCCTGGAGGAAGTATGGTGAATATTTGAGTGACCAATGTGAGGACTTCTCCAAGGAATTTCACAAGTGTTAAAGCCATGAGGGATGAGAACTTCAACCCAATATCAGTCATCAATGACAGAAATGGTAAACTACTGTATTACAAAACTAAGATCAAAGTGAGATGGGAAGAATACTTTCAAGAACTCTTAAAAAATAACAGGGACAGAAAACACATCAACTCTGTTCAATCCCAAACACAAAGAACATAATGGGCCACCAATCCTATAGCAGAAACCAATGCAGACAATAAAGACCAGTCCCAAGAAAAAAGCTAAGGGAATTGATGGAGTAACATCAGAAGCAATAAGAGAATGTGGAGAGATAGAAGTCAAGTGGTTGACAGGAATATTTAATAAAGCATGGAAAGAAAGAAAAGGTGCAGCAGTTATAGAGGCACTTCTCTTCTTAGTCATGTAGGTAAGATTTATGCAAAAATCCTAGAACAATGGACAAGATATAAGGTTGAACCATTCTTAAGTGAGGCACAGTTTGATTTTAGGAAAGGCAGAGGTTGTACAGATACAATATTTGCACTAAGGCGACTCAGCGAGAAGGCTATTGAACACCAAAAAGAATTGAACATTCTCTTTGTAGATCAAGAAAAAGCATTTGATTGTGTCAGTGTTAATAAATTGTGAAAAGTACTAAAATATTAAGGAGTTCAAGGCCAGCTCTTGGACAACATAAGAGCAATGTATGAAGACAGTAAAAGTGCTATGAGAACCAGAAACAGCCTTACTAATTGATTCCAAATATCATCTGATTGAAACAAAGTTGTTTCTTATCCCCTCTTTTATTCATAATTTACATGGACCAAATCATCAAAAATCCAAATCCAGAAGCCTTAAACAAATTACTTTTTGCTGATGACCAAAGTTTGATGTATCCAAATGATGAAGAGCTACAAAACCATACAAGTAGTATCAAAGGTATAATATAAAAATCAGAACATGGGAAACAGAAGCATTGTTAGTAAGTACAACACCACATCAATTAAACATCAATATTGATAATACCAGATTATAGCAGGTCAATGAAATCAAATACCTGGGAAGTATAGTCTACAGAAGACGAGAAGAATAGATAGAGAAATCAAAACAAGAATGCAAAAAGAGAACTATGTAAACTACCAAATAACACCTCTCCTGACACACTTAAATGTCCCAGTGGAAACAAAGTGCAAATTAATAAATACAATTGTTGTACCTATGTTACCAATGTCAAACCTGGATTCTTAATAAAATTCAAGAATAGAAAATCATCACTTTTGAGCGAGATATTTACAGAAAACTGCTAACATAACTAGAAGAGACAAGATAGGAAATGTAAAGGTCAGAGAAATTAGCTGAATACATTGAGAAACAAAGAATTAAGTGGTTCATCACATAGTGAGAATACAGTCCAGCAAACCAGTGGCACGAGCATATAATATGAAAATAACAGGATTTAAAGCAAGAGGGAAACCCAGGAAGAAATGGATTGATGACGGAACTCAGATTGAATAAACACAGCCTTTTACTGATCCAGGCCTCTCATCTTGCTTTGGAACAGCAACTTGTATCTCTCTGCAATGCTTAATAGCAGATGCAGAAGGAAAAAGTAAAGCAAGTAACATGGAAACCTTTGTCTTACACTTATTCTAATTTAGTAGAAAAGTTTCTTAAAATGGGGGAGGAGTATATGGAGTTCTTATGGTTGTGAATTGAGATAGGTGTATATAGTAGGGTTTTGCAGTTGCTGGTATGTAGGTTCAAACTTAATCATGGACTTTTTATTGTAACTTTTCAGTTTTGCTACAACTAAGCTTGTATTTTAGTTTTTTTGTGTGTTTCTTGTCTATGATTAGTATATTTCTTTTCTTGAAAATTCAACAATAAACTTAGAATCAGGTTTAGTGTACCTCAGAAGAAAAAACAAAAGAATATTTATTAAGTGTATCATTTTTTAATTGTTTTGCAGTAAAAATAAACAAGTTTCAAAGGAAGAGTAAATAACTCAAAGCAGATTTGTACAATTGATGCATTGTTATGTGTTATCAAGTGATTACTATAAATAAGATATATTTGAGTTTCTCAGTGTATGAACTTGTTTTCCCTAGAAAATGTATCTTTAGGCTTACTGGGTCTCTGGTTGTTACCAAGGGATACTATATTAGACAGCAATAAAGGCTGGAACACTTCCTCAACCAAAAATAGAGCTGAATATAAAAGAAGCTATAGTCTGAACCAGCTCTGAACAGCACATAAAATGCTGGGAAGTTCTTATTAATACAGGTACCCTATGAGAAGTAGTCAAGATTGATTTCCTTACATTTGTTAGGAAAGGCAATTCTTAAACAACCATGCTGTCTTAAGTAAAAACAATCTACATATTCTTGGTTAGCTTTTTTTTTATGGGATTTAGATAGGGTTTTTTCTATCTGTCTGGCTGTGTATTGTCAATCTTAATTAAACTGTTATGAAGTGAAGTTTTCACACTTACGAATAGTTTTTGCAGTTCTTATTAAAATTAAGTCAAAAGTGCAAAGTTGTTCACACAATTTAATAAAACTATTACCAAAAGAATTTAGAAACTGTTTAATTGTGTTGCATTTTTAAAAAATTAAATGAAGTCTTAATTTATCAAATAGACTAGATTTATTTTCACCTCCACTAAATATTTTATACACACAGAGGGGTGTATTAAGGCAGAGACTA